GAGGTTCCCTCTCGGTATCCCCATTTGTTCTCTCTTTCAGGTACGACTTGATTTCGGGGATGAAATCCTTTTTAAGGAGGTTAGGTTGTAATAACCCGGTCATTTTCCTTCTTTTCTTTTTTCGGTAATTTCTTTTTTTTCGTCTTTTTCCTTATTTCGTCTTTTTCTCGTTTATCATTTTTCCTTGCATAACTTCACTTTTTGTGCTCGGATTTGATTCCAGCTTTGCATACACCCATGATATTTAATTTCTATGACATCTACATTTTTACCTTTGTAGAAAAATATGTTAAATGTTTACTTTTCTTGTAAAGGGTATGGATGCATAACTTCTTGCAATTATTCATGACTTTTGGGATTTTAGTGTAATTATGCAAAGTAATTATTTTTCGTCTTAGGGACCATTTTGCAATTAATTTGGAAGATATTTTTAAAAAGGACCTAAATGCAAATTCTGAAAAATGTGATAAGTGTCACTTTCCTATGGTACCACTTGTTAGTTTTGTGGTGGAACCACTTGGAGACTTAATCTCATAACACATGGAGGGTGGAGATTCACCCATTTGTTGGCCTAGGATAGGAGCACTTGTTGGCATGGATGGTTGACAAGTGTAGGCTCAATGTTAAGTCTTGGAAGTTTACTTAGGATGATGACAAGTGTACGTCTCACAATTGGTCTTGCATTATGTGTGTGTGTGAGGAAGTGCAAGAGTACCTAGTGAGTGGAGAATCCCACCATATTTAGTTAGGATTTGTGCCTTTATTTCATTTCATCACTTTCCTCTCAAGAACCCTAACCTAGCCACCATTGGAGAAAAGCCTGGTTAATAGCTTTCTTCTTCATTTTGGCCTCCTTCCACTCACCTTAGACTAAAAACCTTGGGAGACAAAAGTTTCTTCTTGCTCTCCTCTTCAAAACCCTTGTTTTGTTTTCCTATTTTAAGCTTGGTTGCTTGGATTATAGAGATTCAATTCTCTATTGAGGTAGAGGTGGTTGTATATTTATCCTCTTTAGGTTTTATATATATTGGAGCTTGATATATATTGATTACATGCTTTTAAAATTCTTGTATTTGCATATAAATAGAGATTTATTATGCTTGACTTAGGATTTGTGAATTAAAGCATGTATATGACAATTAAATGGAATAGGTAAATTATTGTTTAATGACTGGCCTAATACTTGTGATTTTATTGAAGGTTTATTATGGATTTCTTGGAGTTGGTACTTATATTGTTAAGCAACAGAAATTTCATTGAAGATTTAGTATAAAGACCTTGTATATAGCACTTGTATTTACTTGTAGGTAAATTACAATATTGCATGATTAGTAATTATAGCCTACATTTATTGTAAATTGCTTTAGTGTAATGTGTAGTATTATTAACTTGCCACTTTAGACATGTAACCTTAGGGCATGGTTTATGTGGTTTCACCCTACTTGTGCTTAGTAGGTAGTTTCATGCATTGAAATTATATAAATGTCATGGACTCATTGATTTTTGGAAGCTTGTAAGGATATGAAATGTTGATGGCTTGGGTTTGGCTCTAGTACGGAGGATAAGAATTCTCCTAAGTCATAGTGCGCACTAGGTTGTACCTTATGAGTTGTAATTACCCGAAATAAGTTGTATGGTCTCATGGCCATATATCCTAGTCTTTCCATTATTTGATTTCGCATTACTTTCGAAGTTGTAAATCATGGATTTCTTGTAGCTTGTGATTTGGTAATCTTAGTTTTATTATGGTTAGTGTACTTGTTTATGTATACTTGGATGCTACGTGTTTATCGTTTCAAATATTTGTATTGCTTGAGATGATCCCTTAGAGTACCATGTGAACATAGACGTTAGGTGGAGTGCACCTTTGTGATGGTCTATGTTTGGTTCACATTATACTTGAAACTATAGGGTATGCGCATGCACCACATCCTACGAGTTACTTGATTAGTCACCCTAGTCGTTTGGGTTATTTTGCAGGTAAAGAAACTTTGATTTGGGATGCATCACATCCCTAAGTTGCCTTGATACCTTAAAGTATTTTGTTGTATTTTTGAAAACATGCAAGTGTTAGCATGTAATAACATTTTGGTATAAAAATGTTATTTTTGCCTTAAAATATGTAATGTGTACCTAAGTATACTTTTTGATACTTGTTTTGTATGTATAACATGAGGCCAAGGGTTATTAACTTGATGTTCGCAAGCATGTACTAAAATTTCAAGTATTGCAAATATAGCCTATTGTGAAAATTAGAGGTTTGACATGTCAAAATTGTAATTGGGTTGCAATGAGGCCGTAGGCCATTGTAGCGCGTTTACTACATCATTTTACGTTTACGTGCATACTCACATCTTACAAAACTCTTAAGTTTTGACTTTTGAACTAATTATGGATAAATGATGGATTTTTATAAATAAAATAAAATAAAATAAAATAAAAAGTTCATGCCCTGGAGTAGGTTTTAAGTTCCCTTTTGTTTTAGCATGTTAGGGATGCTTTTTTGAGGCTAAGGAATGTTTTTAAGCATGTATGGATCATATGAGATGCATGCACAACCTTAGGATTGGACTGTGGACCTTTTTCCTAGCATTGCAGCAGCTTTTCGAAGTGTTTCGGTCGTCCAAAACTTTATTTCGGTCAACTGATAGCTTTTGGGAACTTCGTTGCACAGTAAATCATCATTTCCAATAGCTTTTTTCATTGTTCAGGGCCATTTCGGTTGACCGATGGCCTATTTTGGTCGACCGATGGATTATTTTGGTCTACCGATGTAACCAACCCTCAAAAACATGACTTTAGAAATGTTTCTATGAGTTTTGGTCGACCGAAACTCTATTTCGGTTGACCGAAATAGCCCTCATACCCCAGTCTTCCAAATTTGGTTTCAGCACTGAAGTTCCAACTTCAAACGACCATAACTTCTTCATTTCTAATCCAAATGGGGTGATTCTTAAGCCTAAACTCAAGAATATTGAGTCAGATTTCCAATGGTACCAATGCCATTCTCAGATTCCAATCATAGTGTTAGTTATTAATGTTTTAGTGGGATAGTGTCAGTTTTTGCTTAAACTGGGAAAGGACATTTTGTGGGATTCTTGTCCAAAGTTCTTAGAACCTCTTGGAATGTTGTGAAATGATTATAGTAGGTTGTATTCACCTTGTTTGACTTGTTTAGTGTCAATTTTCTCCTTTTATTTGTGAATTGACCATTTTGCCCTTAATTAACGAATTTAGCTCGTTTTGACACTAGTTTCCCCATTTGCTTTTCTTGAGTTCCGTGACTTCATGGAATGTCACGTTGGTGTCTTAGAGATAATTTATATCTCAAGGGACTTTGGTTTCATCTTTTGCTTTCGCATTTTGAATCCGTTATCGGATTAATTTTCAGGTCATCACTGACGCACCAGGTTAAAAAACTTGGGTCAGGACACCTTTCAAATACCGAAGAATCCACTTCACGGCTAGCCAATGCTCTTTTTCCTGGATTATTTATATATCTGCTAACTACACTGACTGCATGTGAGATATCAAGGCGAGTGCAAACCATTGCATACCTTAAGCTACCAACTACACTTGCATAAAGAACACATGACATGTGTTCCTTTTCCTCTTTGGACTGCCGTGATAGAGCCGCAGAAAGACGAAAATGAGTAGCAAGTGGTGTGCTCATAGGCTTGGAACTCTGCATGTTAAACCACTCAAGCAGTTTCTCAATATAAATCTTCTGTGACAAACTCAACCTTCCAGCTTGGCGATCTCTCTAAATTTCCATGCCCAAAAACTTCTTTGCTGCACCCAGATCTTTCATCTCAAATTTAGTATTCAACTGAGATTTTAACTTGTTGATTTCTGACATGTCTTTTGCAGCAATAAACATGTCGTTAACATATAAAAACAAGTATACAAAAGAACCATCTGAGAGCTTAATTTTCGTTTGAAACAAAATGTTTTGAAATATAAAATTATTTTCCGATCACCTCAATTTCTGAAGTGTTATAATAGTATTTACTGAACATTTTTCAACATCATAGCTAGCTTAAGAACAAAGAATATTTCCCCATATTTGTATGTCTGGTTACTCATTGATATACCACAATGTCAAAACATCTATACAGTATTGGAGGTTGGAAGGATAGGAAAGTGAATCATAAACAAAAATGACTTCACAATAATATTGTTAATAAATCAAGAACTTATAATTATATAGAAAATCTATTAACAAAACCTTGGCATAATTGTTTAGTCCTCCACCTTCCCTAAACGGGAGGTTGAGGGTTTAAGGCCCGGTAAAATCATGCGCGCGAGTATATATATTAAATTTTACTTATCACACAAAAAGAAGTTAATATTATGAAAAATTCTTATACTAAATCCCATCTTTCTATTAGATCACCGTCTTTCTAATGCCTGTCACTTTATTAGATCTCATCTTTCTATTAGATGACCTTTTAGTGTCTTCATTGCTCTTACAAAGAAATGATGATCAGCAGATGAAGTTACCAATCCCAAGCAAGTAAACTATCCAGTGTCAAATACTTCTAAAGCAAGCAAATCCTAGAAAAGCTTCTCAGCTACTATAGCTAGTTAAAGAATCAATACATCCCCCACAAAACAATAAAAAAAAATATGATAAATTCAAAGAGCAATAAAGTGTTGGAAATTAAAAAGAGGAGAACCAACTTGCTCTGTTTTGGAAGCCAAAAAAAAGACTGAAACTGATATATTGTTTCTGAAAAAACAGAGATTCTAAAAAACCACACTATTACATTGCATCGACATATGTTAATTTATAGATAAAACACATGTAGTGGTCATCCCCACTTTCTTAGAACATGCTGAAAGATAAACATAAAAATAGGAACAACTATCTCCACTTCCTATTCTGCAGTTAACAACCAAACACTAAACCCACTAAACTAGGACAATAAAAGCGTGGGTGAATTAACTACATCATGGATGGATTTGCATCATCAATTTTCATCATAAAGTATATCAAATTTAAGAGCATAATCAAAGAGATTAGAATTTCCATTTGATACAAAATGTCTTGCGAATATGAAAATACTATCTCGCCTCAATCTCTGAAATTGTTACAGTATTTATTGAATGGTTTTCATTATTGCTAAATGATGCATTTGTATTCACCACAAGCCGGCAGAGAGAAAAAGTAGGTTCCTTAGGTTTTGGTAGAGGTGCATATTCATTATTAAGCATTGAGACAACGTCAGACATGGTAGGTCGATCATCAGGATATCCTTGAATACAGAGAAGTCCTATGTTAATGTATCTTAACAATGTAGACGTAGAAGAAGGATTATCCAATGTTGGGTCCATCAACTCCATTCCTCTATCAGCATTCCACAATTTCCATGCCTGAAACATTTCATTATATAATTTGGAAGTATTATGCTTAGTTTAATCTGAAATCATATATCAACTTTGCAAGATAAAAAAAAAAAAGAGTTGCTTACATATCCGAGGAGGTGAAGAGGGTCACTGTCATAAAAACTAGAGTTCTTCTTGCCACTAATAATCTCAAGTAATAACACTCCAAAGCTAAACACATCAGATTTTATGGAGAAGCGGCCTTCCATTGCATATTCAGGAGACATATACCCACTAAATTTTAATATATAACATAATCAGATTTAGTAACTCGCGATAAATCTTTCTTTAATGTATCATATATATGCTGTGTGTGTTAGCAGAGGTTTTTGCTTCTACTTACTAAGTTCCAACAATTCAATTTGTGTTTGCTTGGGATTCATTACCACCAAATATTCTTGCCATGCCAAAATCTGATATTTTGGGATTCATTTCGCTATCTAGTAGAATGTTACTGGCCTTTAGATCTCTATGAATTATACGAAGTCTTGGATATTGATGTAGGTAAAGTAGTCCTTGAGCAATGCCTTCAATGACGCAAACACGTGTCCTCCAATCCAACATCCCTTGTCTGTTAGGATCTGTCTTGTGTTCACATTAATGAACATGACATTCATCTATGTTTAGTAAAAAGAAAACATTAAAAAACACAAATTAAATATAAGAGAACACTAACCAAACAAGAAGAAATCCAAACTTTTATTGGGCATATATTCATAGACCAATATGTTTTCATCTTGCTCAATGCAGCAGCCCAAAAGTCTAACAAGATTCCGATGCTGGAGTTTGGCTATCAATACTGCCTCATTTCTGAACTCCTTGAACCCTTGTCCAGATCTTCCAGAAAGCCTTTTCACTGCTATTTCTTGTCCCCCGAGTAATTTGCCCTTTTTAGGAAAGAGGGGACAAAAAAAGAAAAAAAAAAATCTCATTTGAATGGTTACTTAACAAGTCAATTAAATAACAATAATAATGAAGACTGTAAGTGCTTATGAGGAAGCCACCTTGTCAGCGAGTTTCCAGGGAACTAGATCATTTCACTAAAGAACCAAGATTAAAGTTGAAAATAAAGTTGTGCAAGTTTTAAATTCCCTAAACCGTGCAATGGTAGAAGTCTCATGCATTCGGTTAACCCTTTTTACGTACATTCAGTTAACCTTTTTTACAAATTGTTAAATGAATAGTTTTCGACATTAAATTTGGAGGGCTCCAAAATTGTCATTGGTTCTAAGGTAAAGCGCTTCAATTCATATCTTAAACTTTTACCTTGTAAACTGGTCCAAACCCTCCCTCTCCAAGCTTATTTGCAGTCGAGAAGTTACCCGTTGCAGCCGAGACACTTGAAAAGCTAAAGGATGGCAACTCGACATCCTTCTTTCTGTTTCTCTCTAGCTTATTTTCGTCGTTTGTTTCAGCAGCTGCATTTGTATGAGCACTAAAATCATATGTTAATAAATCCTCGCTTGAATCTCTCTCTCTTGAATCTTTCTCTTCTTCCCTTGAATCTTTCTCTCCTGTTTATAACAAAACAACAAGGCAATATATTATTTGGAAATCACAAATATAATAAGTTCCAGAAAAAAGACAATTTGTGGTCTATACTGGTCCAAGTCAATTCTAAGTGTACATATTGTTAAATTAATGTTGCTCTCGGAAGAAGTTATGTTCTCATTTCATAATTGAGTTAAATACATCATGTATGAATTCTTTGAATATGGACTGAAAGTTTTGTGGCTACTGCTTAATTATACCTATTTTCTTCAGCTTTCTCTTGATTAAACAGCATATGAAGCCACCAGAAATGAGAACCACTAGTGAAACCGGCACTATTATGATCAACTTCAAGTTCATCGTGTCACCTGAAAAATAATATATCATGGTTAATCACAATTAATTCAAAGCAGAATACCATGTAAATAGAAGTTACTTTTATTTATTGCAAATTGCATCCACATAGCTCCAGCTTTTGGAAGCTCAGAAGCAGCTAGTTTCAGATAGAGATCTTGTTTAGTACTGTTGCTTCCATTTGAGAGTTGTTGTAGATTCAGTAAATCCCCTTTCCATACCAAACACCCATTACTAACATAAGCATAAGCTGTGCAAGAACAATTTTGCATGCAAGCTAATTCACACCGTTCAAGGCTTTGATTAGGAACTACTTTTGAATTTTCTGGTAACGTTGTCATGTCTGAAATTTTCAAAAATCTTTCAGTCATTCCATTGGTATAAGTACCATTCTGGCATTGCAATGGGGTCTTTCTCATACAACCACCTACCCATTTATCTAGCTTTGTGCCTTCAGTTGAAATTGGCTCAAATCCTTGCAAACATTCACAGGCGTAGCTCGTGAGATTACCTCTGAAGATGCCAAAGGCCCCGCAAAAAGCATAAACCTGAGATTGTCGTGACACTATGGGTCCAAGCCATGTAAAATCCGAATTCCTACTGATGCCAGACAACCATGTTAGCAGCATGAAATTTCCTGACATGGCCATGACAAATCTTACTAGTACAGAACTATTGGAAGGAAAAAATGTAAGATAGGTTTCGTTTTCATTTGATACAAAATTGTAATTCAAGAATTTAATTGATTTCCATTCAGGAACGGAGCTAAAAGTATCTCCATTCCAAACTCCACTACTCCAATACCTTTTGGAGTTGTTCCACTCTATAAAATATTCATTTCTTTCAACTGGATCTATCCCGAATGAAAACCTACCAGGAGCTGGATCATCTGAATATTTCCATGAAGTAAGGACTCGAGTTTTGCCGGTAAGTTTATTGATGCCAAGCTTTGCGCCAGGCAGAAATGCATCCGTTGGGTGATCAAAACTCTGCCAATATATTGTAGAAGGATTTATAACATCTCTAACTACAAAATTCCCATTATCTAGAAGCACTGCTTCAGTGGAATTTGGCGTTGGGGACACAAAATTTGTTGACCAAATTGGATTTCTATCAATATTATCTATCAGGACTAAATTACCATCTCTAGAGAACTCAAGCTTTGAAGAAGATGGTTCAGACAACATTTGTTCTCGGTTAGCTACCCAAACGATAGTCTGGAAAGTAACATTTTTATACCATATGCCAAGATAGATCTTAGGTGAATACTCTGAAGTACCTTTGTTGAAGAATCCCAGTTCAAAAGTGCTACCTTGAGACACCAGGGTATGCCTTTCTGAGACATAGAGAGACTGGCCCACTGAAAGAGCATCACCTCCAATAGAGATAGAGAAACAGGAGTTGTGTAACAGCTCGAACAGAACCAGAACACATATGAAGAAGTATGGTCTTGTAATGGTGCCACTGTCCCTCATCTTGGATGATAAAGAAGAAGATAATTTTCTTAGCAGAAAAATGTAATGGTGCCACTTTCCCTCATCTAATTGGATGATAAAGAAGAAGAAGATAATTTCTTAGCAGAAAAATGTATGATAAAGAAGAAGAAGAAGAAGAAGAAGATAATTTCTTAGCAGAAAAATGTTTCATCCATACATTTACTTCCCCTCATGTTCAGAGTCAATGCCAACATTCCACAACTTGAGTGGGAAAGCGCATGCGGACGCGCACCCACAGAAAAGCAGATTCAAAAGTATAGACAACAACTAATCAATGGGAATATGGAGTAAGAAAATACCAGCAGTTGACCCACAGAAAATTATTGTGGTTGATTGCTGCTACACTAACAATAATATGGGAAAATGATTTTAAAGCAGAGTAATTATGGAGAATTTTTTGACCTAATATTTTTAATTAGACAACGTATACAAAATATATATAAGGAAGTGGGATATCCCACTTTCTTATATGGTGCATAAATGTCATGACCCCAAAATTCTAATAAAATGCTCTGATACTAAATTTGTAATAACTCTAAAAAAAAAAAAAAATTTGGCAAGACCTCTACTAAAAAGGATCCTACAACAACCTGCTAAAGTGCATAAAAATGCAATAACCTCTCGTAGACCTTCAAAACTTATCTAACATGTCCCAACACACAATGCAAATAATACATTTCAACATTCCTTTCATCCATTCATTATGCCTCAACATAGTTCTTTTCATGATGCAACAACCACATACCCTTTAATTCAAACATCATAATTACAGTTCCAAAAACTTGGCTAAGATCAAAAGTCCATGTCTTACAACGTTTAGACAACTTATATTAAAGTTACAGCCCATAATTATAATTACAATAACAAGAGTCCATAAGTCTCAGTACAGAATACAATATGCTAAGTTTTACAAAAATAGTGTAACTTAGATACAAAAATAACAAAATAATCATCTAATCCATACTAAGCCTGTGGTGGAACGTCATCCGCCACTTCTTTTCTGTGACTCGAAAAATGTTAAAAAATAGAGGGATGAGCAAATTGCTCAGTAGGTAGTGCCTAAGACACACCTCTTGTGACCCAATGAATCCAAGCAATGAATAGAAAAAAAAAAAGGAAACAAGATCATGCTATACCGAGGAAGAATACAATACAATTTCAAGCCTAAAAACAAATAATGTCGTGCCATGAAATGTAATGCCGTGCTATGTCGCACCCCATTTCAAAATCACTTCCATTCATCACTTTTCAAATTGTTAATGTAACCCGTCCCTCGGTACCCCCTTGGCGACACGAGAGAATGATTGACCATTATCCTTGACCCTTGGTAGCCCCGCGGCGTCGTTTGGGGCCGGATAGCTCAACCACGCTAGGGGTTTTCTCTAGTTCCCTCTAGGTCACATTAACGCCACAGACCCTCGGTACCCCATTGGCGTCCGGGTTTTCACAAAATCCTTTTATCAAATCGTTTTCCCAAAATCATTTTCTTTCCTTTTTAAATAATTTTCCCAATTCTTCCCAATACTTATGCATGAATGCATCATACCATTTTATGCCATGTCAATTCTCATAATCATACATTTAATTCAAGTCCAAACCACTTAGCATGCTTTACAAGAATTTTCAAAAAAAAAATACAACATACTTACATTCATCAATAATCAAGCATAGTAAACATTTAGAACATGAAATCAATTTATACAAGTATGTTATTTCATGTAATTTCAACTAAACACATGGTCACATACTTTGTTTACAACAATTTAATCATTTTAAAAGAAAAATCAACACAATTAACATGCTAGACAACAATTCAAGAAGGAAAATTCACAAATATGATACCCCCGAATTTTCACGTGTAGGTTGGCCAGGCCCACACCCAAAAATACAGGAATATCAAAATAATTTAGTATTTAAACGAACACAGAATACAAGAAGAATAAAAAGAATGAATAAATCGCTAAATGAAATTCTATTAATAAAATAAAACCTCCTTTACAAAAATAAATCCCATGAATTTAAAATTCTAAAATACAACTCGGGAATCCTATAAGTCAAGAACCCCTAAACCATAAACTATTAATTCACCAGACATCTAACAATAAATAACAATACTAAAAAGTAAACAAGTTGAGCAGATGAATGACAGTCTCCCAACTGCGGATCCTCAACCTCGAGACTGAAACTTCTAATAATTTGAAAAATAAATCATGGGTTAGACCCACGAGCAAGTTCCTTCTACCCAACCTCTGAAAACCAATAAATAAAACATCTCTAACCAAAATCATCCTAATTAAAGTTTTAACCTTTAACACAAGATGATACATATATATTATATATATAAATATATAAAGAATGTGTTCATTCATATATTCCTTGAAATCCAAGACCATAAACAATGATAAGACTACCTCCATATTTAAACTAACCATCAAGTACATTATACTTTTAAGAGAAAACTCCTTTAAACCTAAATTCCGTATTTAAATAGTGATTTAACCATTTAAATAATAAATAATAATTCAAGAAATATTTTCCTTCAATCCAAATCCCAATATCCACCAATGTATGATTTTATTGATAAATATCACCTAACAAAGATTTATATTTTGGCAACTCATCCATGCCTTCACTAATATTATTTTATCAATACTATAAAATAATATATTATTCTTTAAACATTAGTTTATTATAATATAAGAATATTTATCACCTCCAACTTATAAACACAATATCCATAGATGTATATTTAATCATCAACTTACCTAGCAATTTATTTGTAATTTGGCAAATCATCCATGCCTCCACAAATAAATATTTATGTTTTGACAAATCAACCATGCCTCTAGAAGTATGTTTATTTATACGATAGCAACTCAACCATGCCTCTACAAGTAATACATTTATACTTTGGCAAATCAACCATGTCTATTAAATGACAATCTGTTTATGTTTTGGCAACTCATCCATGCCTCCAAAAGTATGTTTTTATCCATACTATTAATTAGCCATGTATATATTTTATTCGTATAATTAATAAGACAATTTATTTATGCCTTTAGCAACTCATCCATGCCTCCAATTTAACCATATACCAAACTTTACAATTAACTATGAAATAAATTATACATAGGCACTCCATGCAAGTTATAAGCATATAATTAATTTAAAAAAACAACCTATTATGATTTCATCAACACCGTCATCACATATATAAACATGATAAATATCAATGAACAACTTATTAGTTGATTAGGTTATATTTATATGTGGCAGTATAACGCGTAGGCATATATAACACGTAGGTTACATAATTTAGCAATATCCAAATAACACGTTACACGTTAAATATAAATATTAAGAATTATTTTGTCAACACCCAACCAATACAAAATTATCTAAATTGGTTAAAACAATCATGGGATAAGATATATATATACAAAATTCCATTCAACTATGCAAGATTTGAGCCATTTTGGCACTCGAGGAAAGAGATACAGACATAATACTAAAACGGAAATTGGAGAAATTTCCTAATTGAAGAAGGATTCTTCCTTTTCTTCTAATCAATTTCTTCACATGCATTTATCCTATGTCTGGGTGATTAACATGCCAATTTAATCTATAGACTTTGATACCCAAGGTGATAAACTTATGGGTTCTAAGACGAGAGTTGGAAAAGAACTTGCCTGAAGGTTTCGAAACGAAACCAACGCTTCAACCTTGGTTGTCTCTTCCAAATATGACGTCCTCTTTCTTTGATCTGGCCTTCTCATTATCAGCCTTCCCTTCTTCTTTTTCTCTACTTCTCTTCTTTTTTTTTCTAACGTTAAAAACCTTTAACAATATAACCTTATGTGCATATTTATAAACATTAATACCCTAATCCTATTCCTAGTATGACTACCAAAATAAAAATAATAATAATCTTAAATAAAATATAATATATATATATATATATATATATTCCTCACACAATAAAAATAAATTATATATATTGCCAATTCAAATCCTCCTCCATGTAGGACTCCAACTATATTAATATACATAAAACATATAAATATAAATATATATATTATGTAATATATATTTATAAATCCTTTTTAACTATATTTATTATATATATGCATTAAGTCCTATACATATATACTTGCTATAAGTATATAATTTTCTATATATATATATATATATATATAATCCATTTAATATGCATAATATATATATATACTCATGCATAAATCCATGGGCCTTTAAATCATCCCAAATCCTTTAAGGCTTCCTTCTCCAGCCCAAGACCCAAATCCATCAGTCCAAATAATCCAAACCTAATCCATTAAATTTAAACAAATAATTAAATAAATAAATACTTAATTTTAAAACAACTAAATACATGTAGCACAAAATCAAATAAGAATTAAGAATCAAGTCATATCATACAAATAAAAATCAACACGCTAACAAATCAATCAACAATCAAGCACATCATCATACCAATAAATCAAATAAACAAGTAAACAAATAATTAATTTAAAATAAATAAATTCATTAAATTCATTTAAAGACAATTAATTTAATTAAATAATTCCTCTAAAATATAGGGGTATTACAATAAAGGAGCAAGAAATTTCATAGATTAGGAACCCCTACCCTGAAAAAGAATTTTCCTCACTAGATCATCAAAGCCTCAAGCTTCAGGCCTCCTCTGCAACTCTCGGACCTCTCCCTGTCTGTTTATCTCGGCTCTCACTCTCTGTTCACTCACTATGTGTCTTCGCTCTAATTTATCTGACTTTCCCTCTCTGTTTGCTCTCTAATTTATCTCTACTGTCTTTCTCTAATACTCACTAAGTGCACAACACACACACACACACACAATATATAAGCATATTGCACCGACACAATACAAACAGCTTATGCCTCTATCAGAAAATATCGTCTCACTCCAATAGATACAGCCCACATGAAAGGCCAAAGCAAAAGGGAATTATTGGCATAAAATTCGTCTCGTAAGACCCACTCCTATCATTACAATTTTCTTTTTGCTCTATCCCATTTCGGCAGTGACATTCAACCCACCTGCCTTCTTCATCTGATGCCATCATTTCTTTTCATTTCATCAGACCAATATACAAACAAATACAATACATCTCCACAAAATCACCATGTGCAAAATACCACCAAAGTCAAATGGTGGGGCCCACAACCATATCACAATTCTATCTCCATCTCTTTTTTCCTTCGGCCAGCCCTATTCCTTCTTTCCACTTCACCCATCAGATTGCAATATATATATAATATCTATATCATATATATACTATGCAATGAAACCAACTCAAAAGAGTCAAAACCATTTAAACCTCTTAGTGGGACCCGCAAAGCTATTCCCAATCTTTTTTTCTCCCCACTTCGGTTGTTCCTCTTTCAGCACACAAGAGAGATATATATATATATAATTTAACAAAAAAATAATAATAATTTCAACTCTTTACACAATTCCTAGTGGGCCTGCACCAAAAAAATCTTTTCCATTTCTCTCTCTAATTTCAGCACCTATGACTTCTCCCTGTCAGATGCTACAAAACCAATTTTAATAAACTGAAAAACATGAATCAGTCTCCAACTGCAACATAAACCAAATCAATTCCAAACCCATTTAAAATCTCAATTGCTTAAGTCTCCAATATAAAATTAAACTCAATTTTGACAACTAAAAATCATGAAATAAATATAATTTCAACCTTAAAAATCTAGGTTGTCACATTCTCCCCCACTTAAAAAGAATTTCGTCCCGAAATTTAGATCCAACAGTCTTCGCATACCCGAAAACACCAACAATCACAAAACAAAGTCCAAATCCTTACCCCAGGCGATGTAAGATACCATGATATGTAGGACGTTGTGGTAGCTGTCAGTGCTAGTCACTTGCCCACACACTCCGTAACCATGGTGGTAGCTAGTCGATGCGTCACCCGTCCACTAAAAAAAACAATAACAAACCCAGGCTACCTGCCCAATCACACTAACCAACCATCCCAGTAACTGCCAGTGAACGCCATCCGCCCACACATACCCGGCTACGATTGGTAGCTAACCAGTACTACACGTTCGCCCACTCACACCCGTCTACATCATCACTACACTCACACTTTCGGCTGGGTACAGGCTAATAAAATTTTCAATTCATTTAAACACAAATAATTCACTATACTCCCATTATCATAAAAAATGTCCTCTTTATACAAAATCAATTTCCTCAAATATACACAAAAATTCTCCAAATAAATAAAATAAATCCTACAACGCCGACTCTTTCACCTAAGCCCGAATATAACAATCCATGTTCATCTTCGGTACCTGAAACTGAAGGGTGGTGAGAAGGAAAGTCCAAGTAGGAAAAACCATAACAAGAATTTCAATAATCAATGATCATACCGCAAACCCTTTATCGGACACATGGTCCTACCTAACACACCTCATCACTCGAGATTAACCACCTGAATTCACACTATCACACCGACACAACGCCCAATACCATACTCTCACTATTCGTGACAACTTGAAAAAAATTGTTGACCTTTGACCCGACATCGTGTTAAAGAGGAACTGATTCAGGAGAAATGGTTGGCCAGGCCATTCTCGCCATCGATCCGGTCTCAACGCAAACGTCGTTCCTGTCCTCAGGTCTAAACCTCAAATACATCCCATTACATAATCATCCTTAAACTGCCATTCACGACACATTCTCTAGCCTTCACCGCTAATACCAAGCACCGGAAACACACAATCCCTATTTAGCAACTCTTGCCTCACGCCACCGATCAAGACCACTCTCAAAACAAGCACCACCGAAACCAAAAACCCTACTTTCCTCCGTGGGAGCGAGTCGACCCAAACAACCAAACCTTTACCGGTGAACTCTAATAACGTAACAAATTACACACAGGTCTGTCCACCCACGGATGCGCACAACTCTTAAACGGAGAACAAGATTCACGACAAACGACGCCCTTGCCAGGACTAGAACAACGGAAAGGGTAACGTACCCCGCTCTCACAAGAGACTGACAACTCGCACCTGAATGCACCCAACACCTTGTCACAATCTACTCACTAATCGTCCAACCATGGACACCCAATCACACCTGAGATGAAATGGACTCCTTACACACAAGGAGGTGAATTAACCAGATACCCGTACGGAACTATGAACTCAATTCTAGGCGATCTCGCTACTAACGAACCATCATACACTATCAACATCGAAACCTTGCACACGCTACTCTACAACACCCATGCCAACCAAAACCAATCAGATAAGAGCACCCATTACTCACAACGTACAAACATTAGGAACGATCACAGCCTACCGAACACTGCATCCTACTCTATCTGGAACCCGTTACTCCCAAATGACAACCTCTATGCTATACGATGACATTAGACCACCCATTACATCTCTACCTTTCTGGGCGGCACTCTCTCGAACACCGTGCACACAAGACCCGTGACCTCAGTCACAACAACCCACTGACTCTTCAAAAGAAAAAGATGCCTATATGGCAACACCGCTCTTACTGGCTCTAAAGACTAAACCGTTCACAATCGCCTCAACTGGCGTACAATCACATCACATATCTAACAACACATAACAAATAACTCAAAATTCCCAATCCCTCCTCAGACCATACCTTAGACTGTCCCGCTCATCAGCATTAATCATCACATCATAACACCTTTATTGTCACTCACTTCAAACAACAGTTCAAACCTATCATCCCAGCGAATCATCAAGCTACACTACCAAGCGATTCTTCCTCCAACATCCTTAAGATAACACCATCATAACAAAAGAATAAGCATCACTCTCGATACTTCCCACAACAACCACTACTTACCATTAGAATATACGGCAATGTCATGCCTACAAATCCCAAAGGAAAAATGAGTACAAAAACCAGAATGCTCAACACCAAACTGTCTCCTCAAAACCATCTACAACACAATCAGTCACCAACACTCAACCGATTACTCGAACCACTCTTTCTAAGGCAATTTACATGCCTAAACAAGAAAACTTGACGCCCTAAGTTCAACATCATTACCTCCCCCTCTTCACCATTCCTCAGAACTCCCTTGGCCCCGACAAAAGTCAAATGGGGCTACTAGCTACACCTACGAAATCACCCCCATCCTAATCATTATAATCATCAATTTATCTCTTCGGATCCTCAAACAACAAGTATCACCTCCCGATACTCCAGACGCAATATGAAATACAACCCCAGTCCATAGCTTCCAAATTCTAAAACATAGTCCATTTGGTACACAATACCCACCAATTATTACCTTATCTACAATCGACCAGCACTTCAATGACCCCATACTACCTGCCTTATCGCACAACCCCACACTACACAGCTAAAACTGACCACAATACCTCACCTCGAGGCTCTCTCGACAACCGTGACAACCTATAACCCCGATCATCCACCGAGATATGCAATCAACTCACTAAGAGTCAATTACCCATAACACGCTCCTGTAGCTATTCAAAATGAGGATCACCCCTCGACAAACCAGTCTCTAGAACAAAACTCTAACAACCCACGAACTAAATCACATTAAACAGTCAATCACCCAACACTGGCATGGCTCTAGTCAATGCCTACGCCATCCTAGACTTACAGAGTCCAACAACCCCTCAACAATCAAAACCACCACACTTCTGTGGACCGTACTAGAATACCCAAAAAATACATCTACCACCGATAGACTACACTAGTGATTCTAGCAACCTCTATCATACATATCACAAACCGGTTCGAAAAGAACCTCCGCACCACCCCATGACCCAAGTCACAAACACTAACCCCCTAAGGTCATATATTCCTCCCATGAAACCCTCACTTCGTAAACCTGATCTTGCCGCAAAACCCATGCACTAACACATGAAACTCATACGTCTCGCGCATGGACATCGCACTGTGCCATAGCAATCATTCGAAGGTTGTGCCCTAAGTACTACACCCCAAAAACAACGGGAAAACTGAAGCAACATGCACCGAATAGCTCGATCCACGAGCTAAAGACCTACATCATTCGTTCGATAAGAACCTTCACCCAAACAACCCTGGAGCAACCGAGCTCTTCGCCTACTTAGGTTAAAACCCACACAACTAGCTATACCACAACAAGTACTCTACTATACTAGCAACCACCCCATGCTCGACCACATACTTTTGTACATGCATACTTATGTATATAATAACCGAAACATATACCTTGACACAACCGTGTCCTATCCCATCAATTTAAACAACGAGTCCATTAAATCATTATGTGAAAAATAAATATTCTGTTCATCATTGTCATTTTTTCACAATTAACATGTTTTCAATTATTTATACATTTCATCGTCATTGCCATATAACACACATTTTAACAATTATACACGTAAGCATGTGAACACTTAGCAAATAAGTATGTCCTTTAAAACCGTAAACGCATAAACAATTAAGCATACTTCTCAGATAACAAACACATAAACAATGCAATCCACTTTTTATACAACCCTAGGTAGGTCTCTACCCGTTGTCTTACTGGTTTTTGAACAATTGCTCTGATACCAACTTTGTCACAACCCGAAAATTCTAATAAAATGCTTTGATACCAAAATAATACCAATTAAAAAAAAAAAAATATTAGCATGACCTCTGCTAAAAAGGGTCCTACAACAACGTGCTAAAAGGCATAAAAATGCAATGGCCTCTCTTGGACCTTCAAAACTTATCTAACATGTCCCAACACACAATGCAAATAATACATTTCAACATTCCTTTCATCCATTCATTATACCTCAATATAGTTCTTTTCATGATGCAACAACCACATACCCTTTAATTCAAACATTATAATTACAGTCCCAAAAACTTGGCTAAGATCAAAAGTCCATGTCTTACAACATTTAGACAACTTATATTAAAGTTACAGCCCATGATTATAATTACAATAACAAGAGTCCAATCATCTAATTCATACTAGGCCTGCGGTGGAACGTTATTCTCTACTTTTCTGTGACCTGAAAAATGTTAATAAATTGAGGGATGAGCAAATTGCTCAGTAAGTAGTGCCTAAGACACACCTCTTGTGACCCCGTGAATCTAAGTAATGAATAGAAAGAAAGGAAACAAGATCATGCTATACCGAGGAAGAATACCATACAATTTCAAGACTAAAAACAAATAATGTCGTGCCATGAAATGCAATGCTGTGCTATGTCGCTCCCCATTTCAAAATCACTTCCATTCATCACTTTTCAAATATTTAATGTAACCCATCCCTCGGTACCCCCTTGGCGACACGAGAGAAGGATTGACCACTGTACCTGACCCTTGGTAGCCCCGCGGCATCATTTGGGCCCAGATAGCTCAACCACGCTAGGGGTTTTCCCTAATTCCCTCTAGGTCACATTAACGCCACAGACCATTGGTACCTCCTTGGCGTCCGGGTTTTCACAAAATCCTTTTATCAATTCTTTTACCCAAAATCATTTTCTTTCTTTTTAAAATAATTTTCCCATTTCTTCCCAATACTTTTGCATAAATGCATCATACCATTTCATGACATGTCAATTCTCATAATTATACATTTAATTCAAGTCCAAACCACTTAACATGGTTTACAAGAATTTCTAAAAAAAAATACAACATGTTTACATTCATCAATAATCAAGTATAGTAAACATTTAGAATATGAAATCAATTTATACAAGTATGTTATTTCATGTAATTTTAACTAAACACGTTGTCACATACTTTGTTTACAACAATTAAATCATTTTAAAGGAAAAATCAACACGATTAACATGTTAGATAACAATTCAAGAAGGAAAATTCACAAAGGAGTAAGAAATTTCGTGGATTAGGAACCTCTACCTTGAAAAAGAATTCTCCTCGCTAGATCATCAAAGCCGCAAGCTTTCGGCCTCCTCTGCAACTCTTGGACCTGTCCATGTCTGTTCATCTCGGCTCTCACACACTCTCTCTCTCACTCACTCTGTGTCTTCACTCTAATTTATCTAACCTTCCCTCTCTGTTTGCTCTCTAATTTATCTCTACTGTCTTTCTCTAACACTCACTAAGTGCGCAACACACGCACACAATATATAAGCATATTGCACGGACACAATACAAACAGCTCATGCCTCTATCAGAAAATATCATCTCAGTCCAACAGATACAGCCCACGTGAAAGGCCGAAGCTAAAGGTAATTGTTGGCCTAAAATTCGTCTCGTGGGACCCACTCCCATCGCTATAATTTTCTTTTTGCTTTAGCCCTTTTCGGCAGTGATGTTCAACCCACCTGCCTTCTTCATCTGATGGCCATCATTTATTTTCATTCCATCGGACCAACATACAAACAAATACAATGCATCTCCACAAAATCACCATGTGCAAAATACCACCAAAGTCAAATGGTGGGGCGCGCAACCTTATCACAATTCTATCTCAATCTCTTTTTTCCTTCGGCCAGCCCTATTCGTTCTTTCCACTTCACCCATCAGATTGCAATATATATACATATATATATAATATCTATATCATATATATATATATACTATGCAATGAAACAAACTCAAAAGAGTCAAAACCATTTAAACCTCGTAGTGGGACCCGCAAAGTCATTCCCAATCTGTTTTTTCTCCCCCACTTCGGCTGTTCCTCTTTCAGCACACAAGATAGATAGATATATTATATGTATATGATGTAACAAAAAAAATAATAATTTCAACTCTTTACACAATTCCTAGTGGGCCCGCACCAGAAAAATCTTTTCCATTTCGGCACACATGACTTCTCTCTGTCAGATGCTACAAAACCAATTTCAATAAACTGAAAAACATGAATCAGTCTCCAATTGCAACATAAACCAAATCAATTCCAAACTCATTTAAAATCTCAATTGGGTAAGCCTTTAATTTAAAATTAAATTCAATTTTGACAACTAAAAATCATAAAATAAATATAATTTTAATCATAAAAATTCGAAATGTCACAATAAATGACCAATCATGAGTATTCGGTTAAGAAAGTTTGTCTAGTTCTTCTTCCTGAGTTTCACTATTCATACTTATATACAACATCTTTATAATTAGTTAATATTTTTAGGTATGTCTTATTTTAATTTTTTGAATTGTAATTTAATAGTATTTCCTCTATCTCTTAACGAAAAACGTTTCATACGACTTTGGCTAAAATATATCTACATATACATACACACATACATTTACTTCCTCTCATGTTTGAAAAGTTTGGGAACGCGGTCCTCTTATTCATCCTACCTTACTTTTCTTACGTGAATATAATTTAATTTTAGAATCAATGCATCGAAATGACGAATTACGTACGTTGAACCACTGAACAATGTTGCACAAAATATTGAATATGAGTGTTGAAATGACGAATTAGGTGCGCTAGCTACCCAAAATATGATCTGCTCAGCAAAAATTATATACAATATGACAAGAATAGCTTCTAGCATGACATGGTATAAAAAGTCAATCTTGAATCTATGACCCATTGAATCAAACACCTAGAGCACACACCACTCACATCATCGTACGGACATGGGAATTTCCCATGCAACTAATTAAATAGCATCATTGCTTTGATTACTACATGAAGGAGGAGGCATTCCCAATAAATAAATAATATATATAAATTCATATACATATACTCTGTTCTAACATTGTTGAACAAAGATTGCAGTATTGCAGACATCCCTAACCTTTGATATTATCTCACTCAAAGTGATTGTTAAAAGACTTAAGTATGTGACCTCATTTTTGTTAGTTCAAACTTCAAACTAGTACCATTGATTACACCAAAGAATAACCCTTAAAATTGGGTTCTCAAGGTGCAAAAATGATATAATTTGTATTTCAATCACTAGCACCAAAGAGTATTATGATACCACCTTGGACTAGTAATATCTTCTTCTTCCTTCCAAATGGAAATGCAATAACCCTTAAAATGTGCGGACAATTATAGGTACATGTCACTTGCCTAACCCCAAAAAAATATATTAAAAATAAAATAAAAAATTTACTTACTGTATTATGATAACTTTGCAGCCTGTGGACAGAGCTTATGTGGCTAAACTATGAGCCAGCCTTAGTTTTACTCTTTACAGACCAGCAAATATTTTCTGCATTGGCTATTTGATATGGCAATGGGCTTCTCAAAAGTCTTGCCTTGTTTGGGCCATATGGTCTTGATTTGGGTTCGTGGCTTTTGCTTTTTCAGTTTCTGAATTGCTGGGCCATGTGCTTCGTCTGTTTGGGCTTTCCTTATACCTTCTGTACATTCTTCCTAGGTATATATATACTTGCTTGAATTTTTTTGAAAAAAAAAAATATCTAGGACACCACCCAATAATTTGTAATTTATAATTTTTTTTTTTTTTTTTTTTTTTTGGTTATGTAACATACACACTTTTTTATAATTTGTCTTACCAAAGACACTTCTTCTTTGAGAGAGAAGATATTATACCATTAGACTAATTGCCATTGATAAAGTACCACCCATAGGCCCATTACCCTCTGATCCGAACCAACCTTGGCACCAACTCAAAGCCCTCACTCAAATCACAGGCTTGCGTTAGTAAGCCCGGCATAATCATTCAGTGATAGCTTGGTTATTTGGTTGTGCACGATGATGCACGAATACGAACACGGGATACAAGTATGACACGATACATACACGAGGCTACAACAAATTTTTAAAAAATAGGATACAGATAAGGCAAGGATACGGCAATAAAATAAGAATATATATATATATATATATATATATATATATATATATATAAAATATTAGCTCAATTTATTAATTTATAGTAATAATAATAAACCATCCCAACAAATAAGCCCATTTGTTTTTCTAAAAGATAACATCAATATGTCCAAGCAACCTATGTTTTATCCTTGTAACCAAACTTAATGAAAAATAAAGAAAATTGTTGACCTTAAGGGTTCATCCTAAGGGCAATCTGATAATTTTGATGATTACAAATCATTAATAGTATTTAGACACTAATGTCTTCATTGAGTGCTATGCTAGACAGGACACACGTCCAAGAATGATGTCAATGAAGCAAAGATGGCCATAGTCACATTCCAAGTATTCAAATTCTCATAATTACATCAATGATGAAGCAATGCACATGGAAATAACTCAAGTTGCACTAGTCAAAGCTTGAAGCACTCTTGACCAAAGACCACAAGAATTATGAATTAATCTCAAAGGTCAAAAGAGCAATTCAAGGAATTAAGAAAGAAGTCTCAAATGTTCAAAGAACATCTCCAAAACTTAAAGAAAGGGGCAGATGGGTGGTAAGTGTTTAGGATTTCATATTAAAGTTTATTTGAATCCTTTTGAAACTCATTTTTATATGTTCATGCATCTTTCACTTAAAGCTCATGATTGATCCTTGTACAATTTAGATATAGGTTATATACTTCGTTTTTAATCATGAAATGACCTAATGGATCTCCTAAGTCAAAGCTACCCTCAAAGAGCATAAAATCAATTTTAGGATCATACAAGCCTGCTACTAAGGTCTATGAGCTTGCTACTAGAACCAGAGAACTTCAAAATTTGAGAAAGCTTCCCAAGTAGCTATATCAGCAGCCTACTAGAGTTTATTAAAGCTTCACAAGTAGCTATATCAGCAGCCTACTAGAGTTTATTAGCAGTCTACTAAGCATCTCAGTAGCATACTAGAGAATATTAGTAGCCTACTAGAGTATAGCAGCAACCTACTATGCCTACCACTAATTCCAGTTAGTTGTGGATTAAAGAAAATGGCTGCTGGTATAGATTCAATTTTGAATCTAACAGCTTTTCATGCATTAAAATGCTCCTCTATCTACCTTGCAACAACTCTTTTATCAGATTTCTGTCTAAATATACATAGGGCACTGACATCTAATTTGGGACGAAGGTAGTATATCTTTGAGAGAGCAATCAAGAGCACTTAAGAGCTAAACTTGAGCATTGATTACATCTCTTATTCTGTCGTTCATTTCTTCATAGACTTGAGCTTCAATTTGATTCATTAATACTTTAGTTTTGTGAGCTTGTGAGTTGAATATTTATTCTTTCGAGAGATATCATTGTATTAAATACTTCCTTCATTCTCTTAGCAAAGGAAGGAGAAGTAAGTTTGCTAGGAGGTGCCTTAGTGGATTTGGGAAAGTCTCAAGAGGGATCTTGAGCCAAGAAGTAGAAGTTTCCGAACCTCGCTAAATCGACTTGTCAGAGTTTGCATTTTATCTTCCCTTATCTTCTTTATTATTGTACTTTTATTACTCACTTTATTATTCACCTTGTTGCATAACTAGATAAAGTTATTTGATTCAAATTGCATTTTTATTACTACAAAATTAGTCATTGTTTGTCATAAACTCTATTTACCCCCTTCTAAAGTCAATACTTAGGTAACAATAATGTTTTATCAAAATAACTATCAAGATAATGTCTTATACCTCACTCTTCAATCTCTTTCTTTCACTGCACTTCGAGACTCTCTCACTTCATCTCTTCCATTTCTTCCTCTCTCTATTGTCCCCTGAATCACGGTTCTCATATTCTCTCTCTTTTTCAGCAATTCTTCTCTTATCGCCTCAATCTGACATATTACGTCTTTATTTCTTATGTCAACTATATTATATATATATATATATATATATATATATATATATAAGGTAAAGTGCAAAAATCCCCCGAACTATTGCCTTTTTGAAAATAAACCCCCTAAACTATAAGTTGCCCCCCTGAATTATTTATTTACTGCAACTAAGGACAAACCCATCACAAAAGTGTAATACCCCGTGATTTTATGGAATAAATAAATGGGATTATTAATATTTTATATATTTTATATTGTGTTTTAGATTAATTAATTATGTGGTTACTTTTTAGGCTGGGATTTATTTGGGCTTATTAATGGGGATCCCATGGGTCAGTCCTGAACCCAATGTGGATTTATTGGTGGGCTTACATTGTTAGTTTATTTGTGGGCCTACTTTGTTAGCTTATTTTTGGGCTTACTTTGTTAGACTATTTTGGTTTACGATTAGGTTATTCTAGG